CTCTCACCTCCCAGTGGGCAGATGGAAAATGCAGTGAGGCTCATTCCCCACTGTATATTTTCCATGTGTGTTCACCTAATTAAAGAATGACTAGGGTAACCCATTTCCTCCCACAACACTTACTGTGTTGTACATTCACAGCCCTTTTCTTTAATGTGATTACAACATCCATGTTCAGCTTTCAACTAGCTGAACAAAGAAGACAAGACAGTAGCTAGCAGAGCTCATTTTTGGCGCTCTTGTTCTTCAGTTGTTTTTTGTGTGGTTTTTTTTTTTTTTTTTTTAATTTTTAATGAAGGGCTGTATCTTATTTGTATGTAGATCCATGTAGACCCAGAGTAACTCCACTGTCAACTGAGACCACAGACACATTTTGGCAGTGTCTGATCTCTGCTGCTATTGAAGGCAAAAGATACACAAATCGATTCCTGAATCTGGGCAACCTGCTGGGAGTCTGGCTTTATAAGTCTGTGAATCAGTGCTACTTTGATGACTACCTTTGGCAGTTGTTCCCTAGCATTAGGTTAAACCTCAGTGATATTGTAATTGACAAAATAGAGTTGAACTGGGAAGTAAAAACAAAAAAAAATCCAAGGAAAAACTGTAACAGGAAAAAAATTACCAGGAAGACATTTGTCATCTGTTGTCTCAGTGTTTATTAACTATAAATTACAGATGGCACTTTGAACATTTGGCATGCTGAAGAAGAATAGTTACCTTTGGCAAACAGAGTTCCACAATAATAATAGAGTCAATTAGCTAGCAACATTCATTAATGACATTGAAAAGTGAGACGCCAAAAATACTGTGCAAGGCTGAGCAGAATTATAGCACAGTGAGTGCCATTTGAAAAGCTGGCAATTCTGATGTTCATCAGATGTATGAAGTGTTTATATAAACAGGCATGGAACCAAGATATAAACTGAATGCAGGGAGTAAAATTTGCTTAAAGAGTGTTTATAGAAAACCTTGAAAGACAGAAAGCTTGGAATTACATTAGAAACAGAGGGCCCAATTCTCGTACATTAAAAATAGCTTAGTTGGACATAATGGAGTTACAGTGATCTAAACAAGTGTTTGTGAAAGAAATGTATGGCCTACGATATTGAATGTTATAGATACCTAATTTTATATTTTCCAGAGAACAAGAACCTGATCCTGAAATAGTGAAAGCTTTCCTACTGAACTCTATCATAAAAATACATAAGAATTACCAGGCCCATATTGTGCTGTTCACAATAGTACAATAGAAAAGTAGATAGTGGGAACAAAACCTTAAGCCAGGCCCTTTTACAAAAGTAGTAGATCAAATTGGAACACCAAACAGACCCAGGAACCTTCAGTAACTGAACCTAGCCTCCATCTTTCCCAGTGCACAATTGATACCACAGATATATGACTTACAGAGGTCCACTGAACATCCAAGCTCATTGTCCAACACCATATTGCAGGCTGTGCAACATTCCCAAGACCTGCCAAATACTTAAGACATTAAAAAGCTCAAAAGCCACAATTCCAGTATGCCACAGGGAGTCAGTGAGTATCTCCAATGCCCTTACAACAACAGGGCATTACATAACATTAAATTGACACTCCTAGATCATCCTAGTAAGCAGACCACACACCAGGTTCCAGGGTGGGGAAAAAAACCCTGCAAATCTGAACTGGGAAGGAATTTTCCTCCTAACCTTCATTTGGTGACTGTTTGAAGGATGGGAAGATGACAGTGGTAGTCATCTGTTCACTGAGATTCACTGTATCAATGTGATGCTGCCAACAAAACACAATGAAAATAAGTAAAAAAGAAGGTTGTGAAAATGGGCTGAAGCTTGCAGGCTTGCTGCTTGTCAGTCTGGGTTGACAGTGGCTACAGGATAGCCCTCATGGTTCACTTAAACATATATCATTAGGGTTTCTAAAGGTCTTACAGGTGTTAACTGAAGCTTAAGCCTCAGTGACTGCAAGGCTGGCTTTCTTATAGGTGTGATGATAATTACCATTTCAGTATTTATGTTGTAAGGGAAAGGAAATTTTTTATTACTCTGGGTCTACTTGGTGGTTTCCATGCTATCCATGCTTGCCAGTGTGTGTATTCACTGAAGTAAAGAGTTATCAGGATTTTATCAAGACCTTGTAGAAATAAAAAGCTCTTCAAGTTGTTAAAATCTTTTTCACTGTAAGCATGTCAAGTGAATGATTTTTAACTTTAAAATACCTTGATTTATTTAGAAACTGTAGTTGCTCATATGAGGTAATTTTGCAGTTAACTGACAAATCCACAAATTTTCGATATTTCATTTTAGGAAATAAAATTTATTTTGCTTCTAAAGAAATTAAGGGCATAATGAAATTAGATTTAAGCCCACTGTATAATGTGCTGCATTTGGTTCACTGGTAAAAACCTTCTCAGTATTTAAACTCTTTGTAATTTGTCAGTTTTAAAAATGAAACATTTTACATTTTCTCCATTTAGTTAGCATTGGCTAAGTTTCACAGATTTGTTATCCATGTACTTACCATATATATTTATGAAAACTATGTCAGTAGTTTTGATAAATCAGAGCCAAAGCCCTGTTGGCTGCTATTAAACTAGCTTGTCCAAACATTTTTTACTTTTTCTACATATATGGCTGAAGTGGAAAGAATTAGCCTGGAAAAATGGCTTTCAAATGGGAATAAGACTTGCACGTGTTACTGGATATCTGCTTATTGAAATGTTCATGCCAACATTCCACTCATACTTAAAACCCCAAACACTGCTTTTAAACTCAGAGAAATGAGCGTTTCCAATAGAGCAAGACTCTTTGTGCTTGACCTAGAAGGATGGTGAATCCATCAACTCTCTCAGAGGTGAAAATACTCTACATTTTGCCAGATTAAATCTTAGGAGCCCCAGTTAAGGAAAGCACTTTAAGCACAAACTTCTATTTTCTGAAAAGTGCTTAAGTATCTGCTTCACTTCACTGACTTTAAACAAAGAAGTAGTATGAAAGTCTTCTTAAGTTGGCAAATCAGCGAGGATACATACATTTTGTATGCAGTATGATTACTATGATCCTGAAAACTGTCTTAGTCCAACAAGAGTATTACTTATTTAAAACACGTTACCTAACATGTAGCAAACCAGGGTTTGATCCTATAGTTATCTCACATGCTACAATTCTCATGGGAGCCCAAGAGACTTCTGCTTGCATTAAGGTGGGAAAGTCAGGAAAGTCAGCAAATGCATCACGTTGCTGCTTTTTATTTTGTTTTGTTGGGTGTGGGTTTGTTTTTTTTTTTTTTAAAAGACTCTTGTTAAATGAAAGGGTTTTTAATTTTATTTCTGCAGAGTCTGGGCAATTTCAAAGTGCACAGTTGTTTTACTAAGACATTCTAAATATATCACTTGCAAATTAATTTAAGATTTACTTATTTTTGACTCCTGGTTTATTAACTTCCTCGTCTTACATAGCTACAGCTGCTGTCTTAGCATTTCAGTGTACATGGGAAAACAACGTACTGAATGAGCTGATGAAAAATCCCAAATAGAGTATTTTAGTGTCATATTCATTAGGCCTATTTAGGCAGCTGAAATGATACAGCCCTGATGTCACACACCGATAATGTCTGTCATCTACATCAGACAAATATGAGGGACAGTGAGGTTTTTCCAAGCACATTTGATTGGGTTAATCTCCTCAGCACAGTCATACAAAATCATGACTTGCCTACTAAAGTTCTTATTAGCTCAGACTAATTAATGTCAAAGGAGATCATGCAATTTCTGAATGTGTTGCCAAGCAAAGTTAAAAGAAGGACACGTGAAATGCAGTGCGTGGATGGATCTAGGTGTTTACCACGAAATAAAATGTAAATCTGTCAAACTGCAGACTGAAACAAATAATAGCAACCTAAATAGTTTCTGGCTTGAATCTCAGCAACGGATTGTAAAGAATATTAAAATATAATTTATTCACCCACAGTCTCTTTTGGCATGAAACTATCTTATAACTACTCTTTCTTTTTGCTTCCTGGAAAATGGAAAGAAAAAAAAATCACCATGAAAATCCAGAACAGGTTCTACCGATGCTTACGTCTATAAGAAACATTATATAATGAAATCTTCCACCTGTTTGTTATTAGAACAGCGCCTTTTGTGGCTACCTGTTAACTACTGGCCGTTGTATGAAGCTTCCTTTATTGACTATGTTCAATCTTCACCTAAAGTATCCTAAGTTTTGCTATATACTGTCTGTGTTGACATGAGAAAAATGCATATTCTTCTAGTGTGATAAAGAACTTATATTTTTTCCTAATATACTTATTATGGTCTGACATGTTCTTTAATTCTGCATTTTGGGTATTTATAGCAGATGCTAGGTCTAAAGCACTGTTTCCACCTAAGAATCCCTTTTCTAAATTGACATCATGTCAAACTGATTTGACAAATTCTGTTCCTAACCACATGGGCATAACTGCAGTTTCTCCTCTAAGGAGAGGGGAGACAATGCTGCATTTACAGCCCTGTGCCTGGGAGCAGAATTAGCTGTAACATGTTTTTATGAAATTTAAGTGAATAAAGGGGGCTAATAAACGCCACTCCCCATGTCCTATTGATGCAGCTGGCAACTTTTGTAGGTCTCCAGGCAAGTATTCAAGAGTCTGTGCTAATAATTCTGAAAGTCAGACTGGGAACAGGTATTTCTGCCTCAACCCTTCAGTTTTCATGTGCGCACCTCTGGCGTGGCTCCCTCCTGCGGAAGGACAGCACAATCAGTTTCTTGGGGGCTTCTGGGGAAAGTCTTCCCAGGACCCTTAGCCAGGGAGGTTCATCATCACATATAGATTCAAAATACCTCCTTGGGGCAACGGAAATCAGGTGAAAAGTCTACACAGATGTTCTTATCCATTGAAAAAGCTCATTCTGGCTCAACTGGCAAGTAAGCAGCAGTGGTCCCTAGCAACTGCCAGTAGCTGAAAAGGCACAGAAGAAAAGCCACAGTTATCCCGGGACTGACCTATGCACACATTTTCATCGTCCAGCTCTGCAGAAGCATTTCTGAAGTAGCCCAGCCTGCATAACTCACAGTGCTGACCTCTAGTGTTGTGCTTACAGCTCACGCAAATGACCGTATTGAGCAGCTCGATGTAACTGCACCGGTTGGAGTGCCCGAAGCATTCACAGTCTTTCAAGGAAGAACAGAAATGTATACAAAACGTATACAGCAGCAGAGTAATAGCACATTACATGCTTAGTAAAGATGAACCATGAATAGAAGTATGAATGAATGGCACATACATGTTAATCAATGTAACATGGACAACAGCAGATGTTTATCTGCAATGAAAGTGCAGTTTGTTTCAGGCAGGTTAGCGTGACCCGACAACCATGGCATGATGTTGAAGGTTGGCTGTTGTTGGCAGACCTGATGGAACTGAAGCATTTGCAGTTGTAAACCTTTCAGGGGTCCTGGAGGCTCAGTTTCCGCTGATAGAAATGCACATCTTTTTGCACATTTGAGACGAGTATAAATCAAGACCCGGGAAAAACTTCCTCATATTGAAAATATTAAATACAGTGGACAAAATAGTCAAACTTAATCCTGCTTAAATCCACAACTGTAAGTAAAATAAAAGCTTTGTTCTGACATAAATGGTGAGTATTCAAAAATACTACTGAACGCGGGGTACTCTAACTGGTAGGCACCTTGGGAACCAGAGTGTTTTGTTTCAAGACCAAACAGATCTCTAGTTTGACCTTTTGGCCAGCACCTCCTAAAGCAGTTAACAGAGAAGAAAAGGAAGGAAGAGAGGTGTTATTTAAGAGCTACTTCTACTGTACTTCTGAGGTAAGCATTAACCTATTTTTATATTCAGAGATGAAAAACAATTGGGCTAGAAAAGATCATGAGAAGTCTGAAATGTGTACTGAATAGAAAGCATGCTTTCTGCAGCCGTCTGAAATGCAGCTGGCATGACAGCCACTTTTTAAAAACCTCTTCATTAACCATAGAATGCCAGTGCCTTTTAGTCTTTAATCACAAGCAATGCTTGGTTTTATGCAGAAAGAAGGCAAAATTAGAAATGTATCAATATCATTATAGAAGGCACAGCTATGCTTTGTGTAGAAAGCTTGTGTAAGTCTGATCACTCAACTCTGAGATCAGAAGGAATGCAGGAAAGTTTATTAGGATGATCAGAGAAGTACAAAGACTATTTAAAAAGCAAAGACTAGGATAGTTTGGCTTGTTTAGTCCATGGAACTGAAGATGGGGATATCACTGGGCTATAAATACATCAAGGAAATAGCCTTCTGCCATCCAAAGTGAGTATCTTCGCTAATGGACGACACTGGCACAAGAACAAATGGGTGTTTACTGGCCATTGAGAAATTTCAACTGGAAATTAGGAGATGGTGTCTAGCCATTAGGGCACTGAGGTTCTTGAACACTCTTCCAAATTGCAGCAAAACCACTAATGTTTTAGAGATGTACTTTATTAACTGGTGAAAGAGATTATGGTATGATTCCTAAAGTAATGGAGTACTGGATGCCGTAACTTGGAAGGGCTTCAAGGTCTTGAAGTTGACTTAGCCTGTAATTAGATAAAGCTGTAGCAGGGGTGTAAAATGTTTCCATACATGACAGGGATCACGTCCCCTGTGCTGCCTTTCCTATGGTATGCTGCTGATCATGCTGGGGCATCTAACGAGCCCACTGATTGTTGCCATAGGGCATCAGATACAATATTTGTGCCTGTCTGTATTTTTATAAAGAAATAACAACACCAGTACATGTTTATGAGTATGTTATGCACACCTAATACATATATATTTCTTTGGCTGTTGTCTGAGGTAGTGGACTGTAAATAGATTGTATCTTTTCTTATACTGTACAACACTTAGCACAACATATGTTTCAATCTTGAAAGCTGCTGTTCTGCTGCCAGGAAACATTAATTCAATTTACATATACACATTTAGTTAACATATATGCATTCTTGTTCTCTTCAATGTTATACTGCTAAACCAATGTTTTGTCATTCATGCCAATCTGATGATTTTGATGCCTATAACTGCTGGAGTACAGTAAAACATTTGGTGTATCAGTCTCAGTATGTTACCACTTGACATAATTCAGTGGGGAGGAAAAAAGTGTTAACATTTGTTGTCTTTTGCAGCTGGTCAGTGTGATTCAGCATCTCAGCCAGCCACCCAGCAGCATTTCTCCCTTACTATATCCATCTTGCTTGAGTAAAAACTGCCTGTGTGGGGCAGAGGCAACAGATCTAAAAGTGGAAACTAGCACTAGCAAACAGGAGTCACAGGGAAAATTGTTACAATTGTAAGTTTTTATGTATTTGATTTTTAAAATAAGACAGACTGGTTAGTGATAAGCAATCTGATCCTTCTGAATCTCAGATTCAGAAGCAATTCTGTCTTAGTCTCTTTGTCTGACAAAGGACCTGTCTTCTGCTACCATCAAACAATTTGTTTTGCTGAGATGATACCCTACTGGTATGTTTGTCAGACTTGTGGCTTAACACAATCATACTGTAGGTGAATTTAGAGGAAATTATTTACCTTGTTTTCCGAATCAGTAACAGGCAGCAGAATACTACATTTTTATGTTTCAAAAATATGTAGACTATAAAGAAGTGCCAGTAAATCAGACTATACTACATCATCTTTTGTGTTTAAAGTAGCAGAAAGAAACTGAGACTATTCTGTCAATGAATGACTGCACTACTTCGACTCTGAAATTGTGATATGACCTTCAATAATACTACTACTCCACATAATTAGCCATTACACAAGCATAAGAAACAAAGCTGCACATAAAGTAATTCACTCTGTAACAAAGCTTGCTCCAAGTTATGATTTGGACTGAAGAAACATCTAATAAGTACGAAGGACTTAGTTTAATGTACACACATGCTCCTAAACATATGCAGAAGGACTACCCAAGTTCAGACGTGGCTAATCAATATTAAAAGTAAACAATGAGACCAATTCTTATACTTGGTTGTGTTCCTATGGGTACTGCTCTTTTGTAACAACTGTGCTGTGTGAAAGAAAGCCTTTGTCTCAAAGTTAACTTATAATAAGATACAGGAAAGCTCTAGGAATCTTGATCATCAGATTGGTAAATGCTACATGGTATAGAAAAAACCACAGTTAACTCAAAAACAGTCTAACATCTGATCAAAGATTAGCAATGGTGCAAAGGAAAAAAAAAGGCATGGCAGGTAACAATTAAACCCATATTTTGCTAATTTTTGCTTCCCCCCTGCCTCCTCCCAGCTTTTGCTAGTGCAATAATATGAACTTTGCTTACTGCTGTTGGCCTGATCAGTGAATCATTTTTACATCCCTCTGTGTTTATAAAAAAAGCTATGTAAAGGGTTCTCATATGATTGAAATGGAATTATTTCCTCCACTGGCTACAGGAGGTGCTACCCTAAACCAGTCAAACATAGCATGTAGAACTGCATTCAGCATCATGCCAGCTGGGAAGCTAATACCTATCAATGCTGTATGGCCTTTCTAGCTTATCATGTGGTTCATCTTAACCAGCACACCAAGACCAGAAAGTAGGCTGCTTATTAGAGTTGTCAGAAGCACAGCTTAAGGTTTTTAGGTGCATGTCACTGGCTAGCAACCCAACTGCTTTCATGCACTGGCAAAGCCATGCAATCACTGAAAGAGATGGAGGAAAAGCATCAAAATCAGGCTGCAAATGGTTTACTAACAATGAAATGACATGAGCTTACAGTGCTAGAAAATGCTGCTTTCAGTTCTGAGTACCACATGTCAGAAAAGACACAGATAAACTGGAGACAGTTTAAAGCTGAATAACAATAAGAAGTAAATGGTTTGGAAAATAAAACCTCAGAGGAGACGTAAAGATAGCTAGATAGGTTTAATGTGAAGGAAAAAGGGAGAAGAGATATCCATGTTAGATTTGATAATTGTCTTTGGATGATTCAGGAATTGTCAAATCCCTTGCCAACTTACAGAATGATTAACTGTATGAGCCTTTAAAGACTATTTCCAATGCAACGATTCTATTGCAACAATCTTGATCCTGTTGTAGAAAGCACGATAAAATTACCTATTGAAGAAGGCTCATAAAGAGGTTGATCATTTAATTGTTTTGTTTCTATAAATTAAATACTTTTCCCCCCGTTATAATGCTATGCATTTACATCTTTGAGATCACATACTATTGTGCTGTGGGGACGAGGTTCAGCTGAAGCTTCAGCCACGACCAATAAAACATGAAACGTCATCACATTAAACAATGGTAAACACAAATGGAAGGGAAGCATAATTTTTAAACTAAGACAGGTAACGCATGAGACAGCTATCAGCATCATTTTCTAATTAAAAGCACGAAGAGTATTTCAAGAAAGTGCACTCAAAAATCATTAAAATATTTTTCATTTTCCAGTAACTGTGTGTTCCTCCTCTATACAGTAACAAAAGGCAAACAAAGGAGACTTCATCGTAACCTTAGAAATGACCTGCTTCATAACAAACAGTATGGCTCGTTATCATGATCTCATCAAATGGGTCAAACTAAGTTCAAACGTTTGTTAACAACCCTATTCCTTGTTAATATGTATTTCATGAATAATGAGATATTCACAATAGCTACAGATAGACAAAACATCTTTATACATACTCTTTACAGATAAATTGATGAGGAAAAACAATGAGAACAGCTCAGGGTTCAGACTGTGAATGATAGATATGCAAATGAAACAGGTTGCCTGTAAGTCAGAGGGAATATTGGCATCCTTCATTATGCCCATATAATTCCATTATTTTGATAAAACACTGAAACATCAGTTCAAAATGTAATGCCTACACCCTGAATTTGCACACTGTTACGATAAAATGAAGATGTAAGGCACACTTACAATGCATTAAAAGACATAACTATGCATTACACTCCATGGCATTTACAGATACTTCTTGAGGATATGGACAATTGATGCTTTATGTATTGTTTGCCCTCAACTAATCTGCTTATGTATCCTCTTTTACAATTTATGCATATCAGTGAGGAAAACGAGACTCTAACAAACATTTGCTTTCTAGGCAACAATCTGAAAGGTCATATTCAAAATTTAACTCCTTTAAAAACAAATGCCATGTCACTTTATATGCCAGCAGTGACTA